GCTCCCGCCCCGCGGGGGCGGTGCTGCTGTCGGCGCCAGCCCCTCCGGACCTTCCGCGCCGCTCCCGGCGGGTGCCCGGCCACACGCGGCGGGTCGGGCTTCCCCGCCGGGAGCACCGGGTGGTGCACGGGAGCTCTTCCCCAGCGAGCACGGTCGCGCTCCCCCCTCTCCCCCCGCCGGCTGCGCGAAGGAGGACGGCGGAGCATGCCACCGGCGGGGCGGTTCCGCGGGGACTGACATGCTGCTGAAGGAGGGCAGGCGCCGGCCCCTCCGCCTCTCTCCGCGGTAGCGGAGGCGATGCTGCAGGGCGCTCCCCGGGCTCTCCCGCAGCCGCCAGGCTATCACCCACAGCAGCCGCGCTCGCCGCCGTGAGCGGCGCGGCTCCGGCCCGGCCGAGGTGACGAGCGGCGCGGGCCCGCACCCGTGCCCTGCCCGCGCCCGCGGGCGGCTCCGCGCGGCGGATGCGTGTGCATGAGCGCTGCACCGAGCGGGCGCAGGAAGCGCCCCCGCTCCGCCGCCTCCATCTTCCAGGGCAGCAGGACCTCGCCGCACGGCCGCGACAGCGAACGCCGGGGCAGCGGCTCCGATAGCGCCTACCAGATCCAGAGAACCCTGGACGACTGTAAGATGGTGGGTACCCCGGGCGGGCTTGCCGTAGTTTTTTACCTTTCCCGAGCTCTCCCCGCGCAGGCAGCGGTGCCGTGCCTCCCGTCGCCTTGGCTATTCCCATCACGTGCAGTTGCACTGTTTTTAAAACCGCAGTCCCCGCCGGGGTGCTGCCCTGCACCCCAACTCGCCGCGGTTCCGGAGCGGGAGCCGGGAGGTTCGAGGAGACCTGCGGGCTGCGGGACGGGGAGCGGACAGTCCTGCCGACCAGGCGTCCTCGCCCCAGTACGCACACCGCAAAGCAGCTGGAGTTGCTTTTTGGTAGATCCGTCCAAATCTGTACCCAGGCTTGGGCGCACTGAAGCCTAAATGGGTAAATAGTTGCCTCCAATGAATCACTGCACTACTTGCTGTCTTGTGAAGCAACCGCATGCTTGCCCTAATATCCTTCTAAATAAGGAAACACAGAATTAGAGGCCCTGAAATTCTGTCCCTGGTATATATGGCACCTGTTACCAGTCTTCCCAGAGTAGCTGGTTGCAGTTGTAAAACCTCAGGTGAAACACCTGCATCTCTGTTACTTATGGACTGTCACATTCTGGTATGAGATTTTTCCTCAGTCATGTTCAAAATGCTTTCCTTCAAATCAGCACCATATGCCTCTTCTCAGGCTCCTTGAGCTACAGTCAGCCTGACACTGGGCCCCAAAATTATCCCTCTAGCTAGTGACAGATGTAGAAAAAAATTAAGTCACTGCTACTTTTCTGGACAAATCTATACCTGGCTAAAGCTGTGTCCAGTAGCAATGGAGCTACCACTTCTAATATGCTGAATTCTGGCAATTTTTTTCCTCTGGTGCTGAAAAATGTGCTGGCAGATTATCCGCTCTGATGCTTCAAGATTGGGAGCAATTCCCAGTGCATGGAGGAACAAAAGCTGCCACAGTAGCTCTATAAATATACCCAACAAGTGGATCTTACTGGGTTCTGCCTTCTTTCTTATTCCCAACAGAGTAATATGGTTAGTTACAGAGAAGTTTTCAGAATTGACTGATTAAAAATAAAATATGTTTTATAGGTGGGTTACCAAGTTGTGGTAGGATTCAGGAGATAAAATCAACGTGGGTTTTTTATTGTTCTGTGTCTCAATTCAGCAACGTATTTGTGGTCTTGTTTTCCCGGGCAGTGCTAAGGTGGCTGGATGAGTCTGTTTAAACAAGGAATGTCAGGTGAGAACTGGCCAAAGGTGTCTGGTGCAACCAGTTACAGTTGCAGGATGCGACACTTTTCTTCCTATTGCAGAATAATCACACTATGACACAACACAGTACCATTTTTTTTCCTCTCTGTTGCCTTCATGAATTCTCTTAAGCTACAGAATAAGAGTTGAGGACTTGTTTAGCAAATATTGTGCCTAGGGCTTTGTTTGGTGTGTGCTTTTGGTTTGTTTGGGATCTGGATGTGGGAGGGTGAAGATATACTGAAATGCACTTGGGTTGACTTGCTGCTCCTGAAGCAGAGGAACCTATTTGCTGTTCTTAAAATGAAGTTTAAGAAAGCACGGTCAAAACTATTTTTGATACCAGTTCTCAACTATACAGTTAATTGCAGTGGGATGCATGAAGGGTATGAATATAATACTGCAGAAGTGACTAGTTTATTTCTTGAGTATGAGAATTTGAGGACTTGACTTTAAAATTTGGTAGCTCTGATAGACTCCAGGTTCTTAGTATGTTTTTATGTTGGGATATGTTGAACTTCTGGTGATAATGATGACTGGAATTATGAGCAATTACTCTTGTCTGTTTTTATGTAGTTTGGAAATTGAGGTCAAAACACGGATAAATAAATATTCTGTTCTATTACTCTAATCCTTCCACCCCCGCCACCATGTGGAGCAAATGATCTTATATGCGTTCTTTCAAAAGACAGCAAATGCTTCATTTCCTTAAAAATCATTCCATGTACGTGATCAGTGGAACTAAACAATAATGATCTTTCCATCGTGCTGAAATTACCTGTTTATCCAATAACGTCTGTATGTATCTGCTGGATATTAGATTTCTGTACAGGTTGTAGTATTTATTTACTCATTTGTTTCTTTTTCTCACATGCACTTTAGAAAAGGTGCTTTCTGGAATTTTAGCAGGAAAGTCCCTATCTGGTGCATCTTCTCAGTCAGTTACAGCAGATGAGCTTTAAGTCAGAAATTTGGGTTGAAGGAAAGTGACAGAACAGAAATCATTACAAATAAAGTTAGCAAAATTGCTGATTTAAAAGCAACTGCTACATTCTAGTCCCTGAACATGCTGTTAATCAGGATGCAGGAGAAGCAAAGGCAGTAATTTCTGGAGATATTTTCGCCTTTCAAGATAGCAAAAAATAACCTCATGCTACTAGTAAAGCAGATGTTTTTTTGTCTGCTTAATATTTAATATTAATAACTCAAACACTTTCAGATATTAAAAGCAGAAACACTGCTTTCCTACAGATGAACATTTATAGCTCACAGAAGAAGCAGCTGCCATGGAGGCTCTAGTTGTTTACTGAATCGTGTGCTCTTGATCCTGTGTGCTATGACATTGTGAGAAGCAGGAACAAGCCCTAGATTGGGCATGTTTTTAAAAAACTGGATTGTTTTTACCAATGTAGTTAAAAATTCTCATGCATGCAAATTGTTTTTGTTTTTCAGCTTGTCCAGGAGTTCAATACCCAGGTGGCTCTCTATCGGGAGCTGGTCATTTCTATTGGGGATGTCTCAGTCACCTGTCCTTCTCTGCATGCAGAATTGCACAAAACTCGAACCCGAGGATGTGAGATGGCCTATCAGGCTCATCAAAAACTAGCAGCAATTTCTGGGTAGGAGGCAACTTATCTTTAATTAAAGCTGTATTCATGTGTGAATCTTTATTAAGTACTACATAATGGAAACTTTCAGGAAAAGCATTAACTTGTCTTTCTGTTTTAGGCATAGAGGTGTATGACCACAAATTTTGCAGAACGTCTATATCCTTACAATAGTACAATTTTGGATCAAATCTTGGTCCCCTCACCAAGAACATATCTGTCTGATTTTACTAGATGCTTTTATGTCAGACAAACAGGATTTTACTGCTTATCACTACAGATCAAGGGGAAAGTCACGCCCTTCAAGGGTGAAGTAGCAATAGCTTTCTGTTCAGTCTTTCATTGAGTATACCTAATTGAATAGTTAAGAAACGACTAGCTCAGTTCAACTAGAGACATGAGAAAATTAAACCAAAATTAGGTGCAAACTGAGTGAGTGGAGTACAAAAATTACTCTGAGAATTTGTGTTTACCTTCTACATGTTTTTAAACCCTTGTTTGTGTTGAAATAAGAATGAAAGCTTTGCCAGCATATAATGTTTTAATTTATTCTTTGGTATTACATTATGGACGTTCCTTTCCATGGTGACCGAATGTATTATCGCGTATTTGAGACTATGCCTCAGTGCAAGATCAACCAGTATAAATGGCTCTTTCCTAAAAAATGGGAATTCATGCAGCTAATTCCATGTGGCTTCTTCACAGTATGGTGACTGGGGCATACATGTACCCCCTGAGTCACGACTTTCTGATTACACTTTGTCAGAACTTTCTGCATCTGTCTTATCTACCATAAGCTATTTTGCACCACTAGAAAAAGAAAACACCTTCTTTTTCTGTAGCTCTGCCTAATCCCTATCGAGTTTCATTTCATCAGTGTAATATATAAAGAGATCTGTTATAGGCTTGGTAAATAAGGGGAGCCCAAACTAAAAAACCAAACATAAGAAGATACTAGTTGGATTAGTAGAATTGTCACCATTTTCTAGTAAGATTTTGTGCAAAGTCACTTGCGTTGGTTTTGTGACCTCTGATTTGTTCCTCAAAGTAAATACATGCTTTTAAAATACTAAAGTCCATGGGAACTTTTTTAAAAAGCAGCAATGAATAGACATTGTTGTTTTTAACCAGTACATTGAAAATGTGAAAACAAACGGTAGTGAAATTTATCTTTTTTGCTTTCAGACCCAAAAGAAAAATTTATATGAATCAAAATAATACATTTGAATAGGTGAACCTATTTTGTAGCTTTTCAATATTTTTCCCCTGTAAAGAAAACAATTGGTACATGCTCATTTAGAAAGTACACAGGTTTTTTAAGCAATCATTTCGCAGCTGGAAGTCTGTCATGTACACAAAGATGTCCTGAAGGTTGTGCAGTTGCTGCGAGATTGACATTTGGCTAATCTAAAACTGTTTTAAATAACTCTGATAATACTGTGCTATCCATAACAACTGGTAGGTGTGAGAAACTCTCTGGAAATTACTGGTTTGGTTTGACACACATTTTACAAGGTATGCTTCACATCCCCACCCTTCTGTACCTGAGGAAAGCCATATGAGACATTAACTGTTTTGGTGTGTTTGTGAGGAAAGGTGGGAAATGAAGATGTAAAAAAACCCAAAAATAAATACAAGGAGAGGAGTAATAAATAGTCTGAGAGATTTAGTCTTTATTTCAGCAAAAAGACTGCTGTAGTGCGTATGAAATAGGATCTGGAATAGGAATCTAATTGGATAGGAAGAAAAAGTATGAGAAAGAAAAATCCTTAGGGACAGAAATGCATTAAATCATCCGTAGTTTTAAATAGTCAGGAGAGTAGTGTGCTGCTCAGAAACCAGTGTTACCAGCATATGGGATGAAGGCTTACTTAGTTCACTGCTTTGGTTCAAAATGCGCAGCACTGCACTGGGTAACATAACAAGTTCTGTCTTCCAAAACTTATTAAAGAAAGTATCTTGCTTTTCCACCCAGAAATAATAATAGCAAGTAGCTGTTTATGTTGCCAGACTGTAACATTTCACAAGGGAAGAGCATTCTATTAATTAATGTCGTCAGTAATGTTCAGGTAGTCTGTAAGTGATCTACCTGAGGTGTTGCATGGCACTCTTACTTTTGAGAAGCTGGTGTCACTGTCTTAAGAGAATACTAAGTTAGTTTATCTTGTTTATACTGTGTTTTCCTTGGAAAATTAGCAGACACCTTAACGTTATGCTGTTCCTCTTTGAATATATCAGGATTTCATAGAATCATGGAATTTTTAGGGTTAGAAGGACCTCTGGCAATCATATGGAGATCACCTAGTCCAACTCCTGTTCACACTAGTGCATTTGAGACTCTTAAATACACACCTGACTTGGACAATTAGAAGAATTTCCTTTTGCAATTCACTTATCCTACAAGACTAAGCAAGGTAACAAATAGGAAAGATGCAAAGACTTGGAAAGAAATAAACAAAAGCAAATCTTCTCATTCTGAAGAAGGGGACTCTGGAAAGAAATCTGGAAGTTGTGGGAAGGGAAGGAAATGCTGAAGTGGAGATAATGCATTAGAAACTGAGCAGGATAGAAGTCATGAGGACAAAAAATATGTTGGCCATGGGCATATCAGTTCTGGAATATTAGGCAGACATCAGAGCAGGACAGTGATATGTATTGTGAACAAGAAGACAAAGCTGCAAGTGTACCTGTAGAAAAAGGATACACTGATATGCCAACAAAAGAAGATTCAGCTGTAGAAGCAGAGGAAGTGAAAGTCATGCTTATATTTTAAAAACTGAGAGAAAGAAAAACAAAGGAGATGTTGGAAAAAAGATGACGTAGCAAAGAAACAGAAAACATTATAAAGTCCACACTGGATTAGACCATATCACTCCATCTAGCTCAAACCTGATGGCTGCTGGTAGCAGAGATTTCATTAAAAAATAAGCAAAGATACAAAAACAGGTTGTGCCTAGAATGATGGCTTCTCTCAGCTGCTACCTAGCACTCAGTAAGCAAAGGCTGCATCTGAACAATCTGTATTTGACAGAAGTGATTTCTCTAAATATTAAGATCTTTTACTCAAAAAATGCTGAGATTGAATAAGGGTATCTTTACACTGTGACGTATTTAAAAACCTATTTACTAAAAAAAATGTTACTGAAAGACGAAACTTCAAATTAAATCTCCAACTTAATAGGGCCTCGTAGATATTACATTCTCTTTACTTGCTCTGCTTTTTCTTATAGAAATAGAGAGATGTTAGCAGAGGGGAATAAAGATTAGAAATAAAAATAATCCAAATTGAAATATCCTAATTCTAGTCAATGTTCCTTTAGAAATGCAAGTCAAAGTAAACCCTCCTTTTAGTGTTGGTTTTCTAAAGACTTCAGGTCAATTCCTGCTCTTATACAAAAAGTTGTTAGTAATTTTTAATGAGCTGTCTTCTGAGAAGGTTTGGTCCTTTCATCACATTTTCTGCTGTATAATGTCGCAGAAATTAAAAATCTGTAAGTATTTACATTGTGCATCCTTTTAGTAATAGTTGTCATGGTCAAAACTGGAGAAGGTGCAGCAACAAGAAAATGAGTCAGCATGATTTTTTCCAAAGAAAAAGAAAGGAAAAATATTTGTAACCGTAAGAAGATGGGGTGAAAAAGATGCAGATTTCTGTTATGGAAGGGAGTCTACTTTACCAAATGATAGAGTGGTGATCTGTTAGAGTTCATCAACTGGGGTTTCATCAGCTGGTTTTATAAATGGTGTCTGGGATGTCAACAGAGAGAAAACTCAGAACTGTATTTTAAGATACAGGTCTGCACAACTGTGCACACACTTTTGTAAATGTCCTTACATATTCTCAAGCACTTGATATGCTTACATAATGTGTGCACTTGGCACACTGAGACCAGAACTGGCAGTGTCTCTGTGACAGTCTGATATATATGTTGGCAGTGCCTTTTTTTTTGCATGAAACAAAACTGGTGTGAGGAGCTCAGGGGGCATGGCAATGTACATCCTTGTGAGCATAGCTCTAAAAGTGATTTTTTTCTGTTTTTCTGACTGGTGTTGCACAGTCCAAAATCTAAGGAGGAATAAACTCTCTCTGCACTAGTACATGCTGGGGCAGCAGCTTTTCAGAGGAGCATCTTGGGGGTTCTGGTGAACATCAGGTTGAATATGAGCCAGTACTGTGCCCTTGAGGGCCAGCAGCCTCCTATGCTGCTTTAGGAAATGTTGCCAGAAGGTCGATGGAGTTCATCATTCCTTTCTACTCAGGGCTGCTGACGCCATATCTGGAATACTGGGTCCAGCAATGGGCATCCTAGTAGAAAGGAGGAAGGGACATCCAAATCAGGTCTAATCAACTACCTTAAAGATGGTTAGGCAGCATCCCATATGCAAGGCAAGGCTGCTAAACCTGGGATTTTTCAGCTTGGAGAAGAGAAGGCTGGGAGGGGCATATTATCCATAGGCATAAAAACTACCTTATGGAATAGTGTAAAGAAGACACAGTCAGACTATTCTCAGTGATGTACAGTGATAGGACAGCAGGTTAAAAATTGAAAAACAAAGAAAAGCTGATTTAAAATTTTAAACTCTTTCTGTTCCTGTGAGGCAGGTGGAATATTAGAACAGGTGCACTGGGAGGTTCTGGAGGCTCTGTCCTTGGAGATACTGAGAATTCAACCTATGGAGGTCAAGGCCCTCCATAACCCTCTGTAGCTGACACTGCTTTGAGTAGGAGGCTTGGACCAAATTAGTTCTAGGCATCCCTTCCAGCCTGTGATGAAGTCATCATAAATCTCCTTGAGAAAATTCAAAGAAAGTTTCCTTATTTGACACCCATGTGAATCTGTTACTTTTATAAAATAGTTGTTAATTTTAAATTCCCCTAAGTTCATGAAAGGTTGAGAAAGTCAGCTAAAAATCCCATCCTGATCGCAATAATTTGCACAAAAAAACTATCATAGTTCTTGCTTTAAGTTCTTAATTTTATGTAATTTCTACTTTTGTTTTCCTTTGCAGTC